ATCATGCAGAACGAGCCGTAAGCAAGGTTGGCATGCTTGCAGCACTATTACGAGTGATATCAAACCAGGCTGCAAACAAAGGCAAGACAAAAGGATCCCAGGAAAGGCTTTACATCAGCAAATCTGTCAGGAGGGGGGAGATGAAACAACACCTGCCACATTCCCCAAAGGTGGCACAAGAAAGGCTGGATGAAACAAAGGAAGCAGAGAGAGAAGAGAGAGAATGGGGGAAGCAGGTGCAAGGTTGAGAGCAGTGAGGAACATAATGCAGAGAGAGCTGAATGGGAGAGTCTCCATTTTGGGTGGAGGGGGATTTGCACGCTTCAGATTCAGCTGACTCAAACTGCTCAGCAAAGAAGCATCGGGAATGAAGCTGAGCTCTGAGGTTGTGTGCATTGCAAGGAAAAGGTGCTGCCAGGCTTCCCTTCAAGCCACAAAGGTGGTGGCACGTGGGGCCCTCCAATCCTATTGATAAAGTGTGGGTTATCTATGGCACCTGGAGTGGAGGAAGCACCCAGACATGGCACCAGCGCATCTCAAAGAAGTAGATCTGAGAGCCATTTGGCCAAACTCCCAGAAGGTCCAGAACCTGACAAGAAAGAGATGAACAAAGAAACTCCCAACATGTCCATGTCCTCCTCTTGGCACATGAACATCTTTCCACTCAGGTTGGCCTGAATTTGTGTTGCTTGTGATGCTGTGAGGAACAAATCAGATAGGACCAGTTGAGAACAGAGGAGCTGATCCTGAATTGGGATTCTGCATTGAATGAGGGCTTGGACCTCATGGTCTGCAGGATGCCTTCCAACTCTTCTATGCGTCTATGAATATTGATATGATCCAAAGAGGGAATGTGGTTTGATGATAGCAGAGTGTGGAAAGAGTGCAGAGAGTTCATGTCTAACTTGCTTGTTATACAATATACCTTTACTGGTTTTATTTTCTCCAACTCATTTGGAAGGTTTTTGTTAAAGAGGTGATAAGGAGGATTCGGTCACACGTTACTACACTAAACCCACTTGTGATGAATAGCAACCACCTTGAAGCTCGATTGCCCCAAAACAGGGAAGGTTCCTGAGGGTAAAAGGGGCAAGGTGAGTGTAAGGAGGCCAAGGGTTGGAACTGTGGGGTCAGTCTGGAAAAGGGGTCCATCACGCTCATAGCCAGCTCATTGACCAAGAAGCATGTAGTGGTGAAGTTGGGCTTGAGTGGAAATCTCCCTTAGCCAAATCCAATAGTCTTGCACCCTTCTGGGACACCCAGCCTTTAAATGGCTGCCACTCCTGAAGAAGTTCTAATTGGATAGCATCCTTCTTTATTTGGTTTCCTTCCAGGCTATAAAATCATAGAGTCATAGAGCTGGAAGAGACCTCAAGGGCCATAGAGTCCAGCCCCAATTCTGCCATGCAGGAAGACACCATCCAAGCCCCCCCTGTGACAGATGGCCACCCAACCTCTGCTCAAAATCCTCCAAAGAAGGAGACCCCACCACCCTCCGAAGCAGCGTCTTCCACTGTTAAACAGGTTGTACCATCAGGAAGTTCTTCCTAATGTTGAGGTGGAATCTCTTTTCCTCTACTTTGGATCCATTGCTCCTATTCTCTGGAGCTGGAGAAAACAAACTGTGTGTCAGCTTGAGTCTCCTGCCTCCTAGGCTGTTCAGGGACAGATCTCTCTCTTCCTCCTCAATTCAACCTCACTCAACATTTCCTCACATATAATTGCAGAAGCAGCCAGTTGCGCTGGGTGGGCATCGTGGCATGAGCTGAATGCACAAACACCCACAGGATTCTGCTATGAAAAGACCATAAAATTCATTCTCATGCATGGTATAAAAGCAAATTGGAAATGAGGCCTCCAGAGGAGATGAAAATTCGGCACAGCACCAACTCCCCCAAAATCCCCCTGCCTTTTTTACGACGCGTATTACATTATTTGCCAGGCGATGCCTGTTGAGCTAGATGCATGTACATCTTTGTCATAATTCCAGATTCACTCAGTAATCAGAGCTTGAAAACTTTATTAAAGCTTCTCCTGGCTTCTTCCTAGCTGGAACCTACAATGAGTAACAACCAAAAAATGTGAAGTAAAACTAAACTGAAGCAACTGCTTTGTCCCTCAGGGACCATATCAAAATAACTCCCTTTTCAGTCAAAGAACACTGATAGATCCACAACTGCACACAGGACAGGTTCTCTACAATATGACAGTGTTCGCATTGAGCCAGATGTTTAGATGATTAAAATAAATTTACTCCTGGGGCTGTCCTGGAAAGTTGTGCCATCAAGGTATTTCAACTGGGTGCCAATATTGCATGAATTTGCAATAAAATGGGTTAAAGTGGTTCATATTTTCATAGTATTTTGAGTTTCATTTCTGGGGGAACCTTGGTCTTTCTGTTCTGGGCTTCTGTCATGCACCATGCTGGGCCTCCATATTTTGAAAATCATTAAACCAAGAGGTATGGGTCTCCATCTGCCTATTAAATTTGTATCCTATTCTTTCAACAAAAAATGCTTTTACACTGGCTAGTAGAGAAAAAAGTGTTTTAAAACCTCATGCCTGGTACCCTACTGAGAATTCATAACCTCATAAACCAGCTTATAATCGTTCAATTTAGAATTGCAGCATCGTGCAATGGTCATATTCTGAGAAGAAGAGTGTCGACAGAGTTGCACCATTGGGACCACTGGACAAGTAGCATTGCCATTTCACGAGGGTTGTGATGTGCAACAAATCTGTTTTCTGTGCGGAAAGCAATGTTGTTGTTGTTGTAGGCCTTTAAGTTATTTCCAACTTATGACAACCCTAAGGCAAACCTGTCTGGAGGGTTTTTTGGCAATATTTTGTTCAGAAGAGATTTGCCTGAGGCTGAGAGCATGTGACTTGGTCAAGGTTACCCAGAGGGTTTCATGGCCAAACTGGGAATTGAACCATGGTCTCCAGAGTCATGGTCTAACACTCAAACCGCTATGCCATGCTGCTTTCTGGGGAAACAGCCATGTGTGAAATTTGTGCAGAATATGTCCTGAATTGCGAATGGTCTTCCAAAATTGCATGGTTTTCAAAGACTTTCCTACAGTGGAAAGAAAATTGTTAAGAGTAGTTGTTGCTTGCTTCTATAAGATAATTAGTGAAGAATTACATCCCTAATCCTCAATGAGGACTTGAAGAAATGTCATTCTCCCTCCCTTCCTCCCTCCTACATCATGTGCTCAAGTGCCAAGTGGTAAAAAACCCAAGTGATTGTCTATTTTAGCAAGTTCACAGACGATCCCTCTGCCCACCTGTTATTTTGCAATAAATACCACTTCTGTTGAGGAAAACATGAGGGAAAGGACTTCTCCACTTGGTCTCCAATGTAGCATGCACCCTAAGAATGTCCTCCAGCCCAAATAGTTATTTTACCCCCCCACACACACACACTTTCAAAAGGTTGAAAGATCCAGCATGGTACCCCTTAAAGTACCTAAGGAGATGTTCAGAAAGAGGGTGGCATCCACTATCATCCCCTCTCCAAGTGGGCTACAGATTTTTGTGGCAGACAGTCCAAAACAGGAGAGGAGAGGAGAGGAGAGAAGGGAGGCCTTGCATGATCCTTTCCAGCTTCCGGACACTCCATCAGCATTTCTCAAGGCTCCTCTAGTGGAAAGACAAATGCAAAATGGAATTGGTAGCTGCAAATCCAAAATGGAGCTGGTATCCCCCAAAAGCAATAGCAATAGCAATCACACTTACATTTCTATACTGCTGTGTAATGCAAGATTTACAATGTCTTTGCCAACCAAGAGACAACTAGCAAGAGTTTATCTGTTGCAACTGCTTGCTTCAAAACTGTAGAGGTTTTTGAAGGATCAATAAGTATGCAGTTGCCACAGGACAATAATCCCACAACAGCACTGCCCAAAGGTCTATGATGTCCTCAAAGTCCCTTCTGCCTCTCAGCCATTGATTTACTGCAAAAATAACTGGCCTCTGGGGGGAGGAACCTATTAAGAGTTTTGGTGGCCTTTTATTGCTTTCGCATCAAAAGACTTGTTAATTCATCATCCTCTGGACAAGCAGGCAGAGTCCTGGAGGAATGCCATCTAAATCTTCATATTAAGAGACAGCTTTATGCAGTTGTAAGTCTTCACTAATTTTCTTCCCAAAGGAAACATACAGGTAATTTTAGAAATTTCCTTCCTACCGTGGAAAAG